TTTTTTTTTTTTTTTTTAAAATGAACTCCGTAGGAGCTCTTCAGTTATAAGTACTGCACTAACATTTTTTTTTAATGTTTTATTTATTTCTAGGAGAGAGAGAGAGACAGCGTGAGCAGGGGAGGGTCAGAGAGAGAGGGAGTCACAGACTGAAACAGGCTCCAGGCTCTGAGCTGGCAGTCAGCACAGAGCTCGACGCGGGGCTCGAACCCACGAACCGCGGGATCATGACCTAAGCGAAAGTCGGATGCTCAACCGACTAAGCCACCCAGGCGCCCCTAGATCAAAACAAACTCCTAGTGCAAAACATAAAACAGTGATTGCCTCCATGGTAGTGTGGACTTTACTAAAGGACTTTCTGGTATAATGGAAATGTCCTATTGATAGATGTGGGGATTACATGGACCTGCTACTGTGTACCAAAATTCATTACTATGGATGACTAAGGATTTACGAATTTCAATGCTTATAAATTCAACCTAAATTATAAAATAAATCATTGAATGTAAACAAGAAACAGAGACTAAATTAATTATATGAATAAATCTAAGTCTTTACCAAACTGTCATCTTGGATGATTTGCCTTAAACACAATATCTTTCAGTTAAATGACACTACTGTAAACTCCTTTGATGTTCCTTTACATATTATATTGCAGTTATTTGTATTTGTGTGTATGGGTGGGGTTTTTCAGTAGTCTGTAAATTTCTGGGGAGGAGACCCTAAATCATGTTTACAATGCCAATACTGGCAATGTGTGTACCTTGGATTATCCACTCAACCAATCTCCTTTATAAAAGACAGGAACCTGATAGAGGTAGTTCCTCAAAGCTTGAATGAACAGAACAAAGAGGTAGGTCTCTAAGTGTCATCCTTGAGCCTTTAGCATCAACATCACTTGGATACTGGTTAGGAATGCCAAGCCTAGGAACCCCTGTATTCAGAACTTCTGGAATTTGTCCCAACCATTTCTTTTTTTTTTTTTTTTAATATTTTTATTTATTTCTAGGAGAGAGAGAGAGACAGCGTGAACAGGGGAAGGTCAGAGAGAGAGGGAGACACAGACTCTGAAATAGGCTTCAGGCTCTGAGCTGGCAGTCAGCACAGAGCCTGACGCGGGGCTCAAACCCACGAACCGCAAGATCATGACCTAAGTGAAAGTTGGATGCTTAACTGACTAAGCCACCCAGGCGCCCCATGTCCCAACCATTTCTAATAAATCCTTCAGATGATTTGTTGCATCATCTGAATGCACAGGACTCTCACTAAATGAACAATAATTAGAAATAGTGAAAAAATGAACTTGAATTGACTAATCACATTTCAAATGGATCCAAGAAATGTGCACTACAGATTACCTATGAGATAAGTTCTAAGGAGAGTCACATTCTGATTATTCAACAATTTTTTCTTCATTGAAGAATATGTTTTTTTTACAAATAGTTTGTTGTCAAGTTGATTTCCATATAACACCCAGTGCTCATCCCCACAAGTGGCCCCCTCCATGCCCATCTCCCCCTTCCCCCCCCAACATCCATCAGTCCTCAGTTTGTTCTCAGCATTCAAGAGTCTCTCACGGTTTGCCTCTCTCCCTTTCCCCCACCATTTCCGCCCTTCTTCTCCCCCATGGTCCTCCATTAAGTTCCTCCTAATCCTCCTATACGTGCAAACATGTGATATTTGTCCTTCTCTGCCTGACTTATTTCACTCAGCATAACACCCTCAGGTTCCATCCATGTTGCTACACATGGCCAGATTTCATTGTTTCTCATTGCCATGTAGTATTCCATCGTATAGATAAACCACATCTTCTTGATCCATTTGTCCGTTGATGGACACTT